CTCTCTATATATATATATATATATATAATATGTATATATATAATGGGAAGGGTTCAAACGAGAACACCTTCATTTTACGAGAACGTGAGAGAGAGAGAGAGAGAGAGAGAGAGAGAGAGAGACTTGGGATCATGAGTCTTACGAAATTATGCTGGTCTCACATGAACCCAACCTTCACAATGTTTTTGCTATGAAGGTTTGAAATTTTTTACCTTCACAGTGTTTTGCTGTGAAGTTTCAAGTGTGAAAAAGTGGTCTCACAGCTCTCATAAAAACAGTCTGGTTTCAACCTAACCCTACATACCTATATATATATATATAGGGTTGGGTTCACGTGAGACCAGCCTGTTTTCGTGAGACCCGTGAGACCACATTTCTACACGTAAACTTCACAGCAAAAACACTGTGAAGGTTTAAAAAAAGTCGAACCTTCACAGCAAAAACACTGTGAAGGTTTAAAAAAAGTCGAACCTTCACAGCAAAAGACTGTGAAGGTTTAAAAAAAGTCGAACCTTCACAGCAAAAACACTGTGAAGGTTTAAAAAAAGTCGAACCTTCACAGCAAAAACACTGTGAAGGTTAAAAAAAGTCACCTTCACAGCATTTTGCTGTGAAGTTTCAAGTGTAAAAAACTGGTCTCACGGGTCTCACGAAAACACGCTGGTCTCACATGATCCCAAGTCTATATATATATATACACACACACACACGCATATATATATATATATATATATACATACATACATCAACATGACTCATTCAAGAGAGAACTGATTAGTTTGTGGTAACTGTGAGATCCAATATCAACCACAAATCAACGGATAAATTAGGAAATTAATAATTATGGTAGTTTGAGTTAAAATTATAATTAGAGGGTATTTTAGGTACTTTTAAAAAATTCCTCTCTCCTCTCTCATCGCTCCGACCTCCAATCTCCGGCCTCCGGTGAATAAAAATCCGGCAGGTACCAAGTAATCACAAAGATACACAATGTGATACCCATTGTGATATACTGTGATACCCATTGTGATACTGTGATACCCGTTGTGATATATTATGATATCATTTGAGTACCACTGTATATCACAATGGGTATCACATTGTTTATCTTTGTGATTACTTGGTACCTGCCATATTTTTGTTCAACGGAGGCCGGAGATCGGAGAGATGAGAGATGAGAGAGGAGAGAGAAGAGAGGAGTTTTTTAAAAATACCTAAAATGCCCTCTAATTATAATTTTAACTCAAACTACCATAATTATTAATTTCTTAATTTATCCGTTAATTTGTGGTTGATATTGGATCTCACAGTTACCACAAACTAATTAGTTCTCATTTGATTAAGCCCCTATATATACACACACACACGCATATATATATATATATACATATACATACATACATACATACATTTGTATACACATATACACACATACACACACACACATACATACATACATACATACATCAACATCTTTTCTATCGAAATAGGCCTGATTCTCATCAACATCTTTTCTTCGAGTGTTCGTATCCTAATCAGGTTTGGAATGGTCTTAAACCCAAGCTGAAAATCCCTGTTGTCCCAGATAACTGGGCTGCTATCATCAGTATCTTCCAGCAAGCCACCAAAGGCAAGACCGTTTGGTCTATCATTCGCATATTAGTGCTTGTTGGTACCGTCTACCACCTCTGGCAGGAAATGAATAATCGTATCTTCAAGAATAAGAGGAGATCGCACAATATGGTGGTCAAGACCATTACTGATGATGTTCGGTCCAGGCTTCTTAGCTTGGCCATTAAGCCCTCCTCGAATGTTGTCCGGGCTCGGCTTGCCTGGAACCTTCCCTATTGGTTGGTCTCTCTCTCCTCTCCCCCTTTTTTCTTCCTTTCTTTCCCCTTGGAGAGCCTTGGTTCTTTTCTAGTGGATGTGGTTCGCCCCAACCCTAGCGCTTAACTTGTTTGCTTTTTAGCGTTTTTGGTTTTTTCTCTTGATAGGAGGGGCCTCTCCCTTTTAAATCAAAAAATATATACATACATATATATATATATACACACACACACATATATATATATATATATATATATATATATTTCAGCAAACGATAAGTCAGTTAACCGGTCCCGAGATTGTTTAGGTAACTTTTTTGGTACTCGTTTGGGGAATGTCCAGTGACAAAGTCACTAAAACAAAGGCAGTTAGCTAGGAAACAAAAGAATCATGCGTAAAAAACCAATTAAGGTGCATTCTAAATTATTAAGTAGATAAATTGATCCCTACAGTCTCCATATATTTCCCTCCTGGAGTCGTAATGCGTCTATGGTTGATATCTGAAGACCACATGTCAGTCGCATGCTTCTCTAAGTCGATTTCGTAAATCCCATTTCCAGAAGCCATGAGCCAATTTCCATTCTTCCTGCAGTGCAGTGCAACATCCAGGAAAACCCAAGGCCAAAAGTGCAGATTATTATAAACTACCACCTTTTGTCCAATCTCCATCTCCATCTCCATCCTCCACACCTGAAATTAACATTTCATACACAAGTGAATGCACCTTCTTACAAGTAGAAGCTTGTAGTCATTACAAGTGTAATACAACCCAAATACTATTAAGTTGGTCACGAGGCATTTTTCGTTGCTGGTTCTAGACAAGGTCTTATATTGGTCCGTTAAAGGATTCCATAAAATTAGATCAGAGTATTCCGTGTCGTTGCATTTGTTAATTATGCGTACACATACCAATCCACGTACAGATGCTAGAATCGACACGTTTTCATGACTGAATGGCAAAGTACGGCTGACAGTACTACTTAGACCGTCTCCAGGTGATTCGAGATCGATGGTTTGAAACTTGCCGGGGGTTGTTTCGGACAAGAGGATAAGAAGAAGGTTGTGGTGGTGGTGGTGGTGGTGGTGGTGGTGGTGGTGATGCATCTCCACAAACATTGGTGTTGTTAAAGAAAACGGTGTAGGGATTTGGCCGGCAGCCTTGGTAGTATGTGGGAAAATAATATGTCCGGTAGCATCATGTTCTCAATACATGGATCTATTTTAGATTGGAGAATGCAGTGATATATATATATATATATATATA